GTCGAATTTGACCTGCTAATTCGAGCGAGGTCAAATTTTGTCTGCTAATTTAGACTTGTTAATTCGAGCGAGGTTGAATTTGACCTGCTAATTCGAGTGAGGACAAATTTAGACTTGTTAATTCGAGCGAGGTCGAATTTGACCTGCTAATTAGAGTGAGGTCGAATTTTTTCTACTAATTTGAGCGAGGTCGAATTTGACCTGCTAATTCGAGCGAGGTCGAATTTAGACTTAGAAAATAGTTCAAGTGAGACTGAATGTATATTTCCTTTGCGTTGGCATGGTTGTGTACATTTGGCGTCGTGTAGGAATGTCATACCACTTTGTTTATTCATTGGAGAATATTACATGTTTTCGTTCGAATCGTGCGTACATTTGAGGAGTCTCAATCTTCCTGGTCCCTTCATTGCTCGACCTAGAGAAGTAGTCGATAGGCGGGGCTATGAATGTCTTGTTCAAGTTTCAGGACGTCTTAATGTACGAACGAGATCAAATATTAGCTAGTTGTACCGTTGCACAGTTGCATTGGCGAGCGCGTAGGTGAGTTTTACGCACTTGTGTTCTATCTGCATGCTGGAGAGATTCGTATGTTTTCTGGGCCGGTGACCCGGTCCAAGTTTACACAGGTCTTTTCCCTTTTTGGCGTTAAGCACCGACTTGTTGGAGAGATTCGCATATTTTTTGGGCTGGTGACCCAGTCCCAGTCTATACAGATTTTTCCCTTTATGGTGTTAAGCATCAACTCGTTAGGGGTTGGGGGGGATTTTCCTAGTGCATTGTTTTGACGGCATTTGTTCCTTGTTCGCGCATCTGGGAGAATGTTCCTATTCTTATCCCCGTCCAAAAAGAAAAATAACAAGTTAAACCCAAACGAAATCGCTTGTTACCTTGACCTGATTGGTTGGCACGAGGAGAGGGGCGCTATAGAACGACTCATTTCGCCCTGTACTCGAATGGTGGCTTTATATTTTGATCTTAGCCCCGTGCTTAGCTTCACCGTTAGTCGAGTCTGGGGATCTTATGGGCTGACAACTTACTTTGCCCGTTGGAGTCTCGAGTTCGAGTCCCGATCCGATCCAGTCCCAGATGCACAAGAATAAGGGAAACATAAGTTATACTCCGTATATACGGGCAAGACAGACTTGTTATTTCAAAGAATTGTACAATAGGCTATCGTCCCTTCCCAAGAGAGGAGGCAGTGTGCACGAAGTATAGATTAGCATATAACGTAAATATAGCCAGTAGGATTGTGGACGTGCTCAGTGCATAGTGTCCATAATCCTACTTTGATAACTCATACTCAGGACGTACCAAACCCATCACTACAGCAAGACGTGGCTTTCATATAGATATCAAACATAGCTTCGATTTCATGCAAAGATCTGACCTTGGTTGGTTCGGTTATTTCAAAAGCTTGCCTACAAATTCTTAAGTTGGTGTTTGTAATGAGTGGGCGAGGCTACAACAGACGGGAAGTGGAACTCTGACTGACATTAGATCTAGAGGAAACTAAAATTTTGGCTAGAAAAATCCCTACAGACGGCGCCAAATTGTTTGATTAAAAAGTATTAGACCTTTTTAGTTAAATCGATTTAATAAGAAGATTTGGGGTAAATTCTAGCCGGAAATAATTAATTCTAGATCTGAGATAAATTATAGGAATGAACAAGCACAACTAAACATAAATTTTGATTATAATAGCGGTTGACTTTCACAATGTAAGAAATAGATAATTGCTCTAATAGTATCAAATGATAATGAAGAATACATAAAGGAAAAGAATCATCATGCTCAGACAAGAATGCCCTCCGTCCGTTTGAATAAATAGAATTAAATATGCATATTGAGATTCTAAGCTCTCGTCTCTTTTCTCGGTCAGGAGCCTGAGATTCGGGAGCATCTTTCTCTTTTTAGGGATGTATATATTGTTGTGTGTGTATATGCTCCTCTCCTTTATGTCACACTTTCTCATGATATTTATACCAAATACTTTCCTTACCCAGTGGTCCTTAACCGGAGTACCTAAGTTCTTGGAATATCCCATAGAATATTCCTCTGGAATATCTAAGTGTTGAACTGGCCGTTTGGACCGAATCGAGTGCTCGACCTCAACCATAGCTAAATCACTTGCCGGCATATCGCTTCCTACACGCGACTCCGGCTTGGTTGCTTTGTGGTTGCTCTTCTTTAAGTAGAATTCATTTGATACCCATACATCATCGTTATATTGTATTTTTCTCTCATCTTGCCCTTCTTATTATTAAATATTCCTATTTATCCTTTATCATATCTTATATATAATAAGTTTATTTTGTAATTTATGTAAATTTATTCTTTATATTGCTGATGTGTGTCATTATGAAACGGCGACAAATAATACAATCTACCAAATATCGTATTCGATAAATAATACAATATAATATAATACGATACAACGTATTATTACGAAACAATATGAAACAACCATCCAAATAATCTGTAACTGTATGACGACGCGACACATAATAACCGGCGCTTTTATTTGCTAAGAAGCCGTCAACGGAAGGGACACGTAAAGCATGTTTGGGCTGTTAGTTAAAAGTGGAGTCCACCAACAAAATTAGAATTCCTTTTAGATGGGCCTGATTCTACTAACCCTTTGTTGTCAAATCACCGAAGAATTTAAAGTGGGCTTAGTCCAGTTTTGGGAACTTCTAGTAATTCGACACCTGTCTCTGCCCACGTGAATGCATGCCACGTAGCGACCCCTCCCGACAAATGATTGAATGTGGATGGAAACGTTTTGTAGTGTGAGGGGTGTCAAGTGTTGACTTGTGTTTAACGTATGAAAAGAGTATTTAATTTTATGTATGGCCATCAAAAAGTCAAACCTCTGCGAGCTAATTTATTTGAGGCAAAATTTCTCGATTTGCTTCTTTTTCTTTTTTCGTAATGATGTGGGGATAAGTTTGGTACGTGGCGTAGGTGACAGTACACGATAATATTAAATAATATCGATATGTCAATTTTAATAAAATATGTGAAGTATTGAAATATAAACAACAATAATATATTATGAATTCCTACAAAATTGGAATTTGGAACCCAATCATTAGAGAGTGCCCAACTACTATCTTTCTACACCAAAAAATGGTGTGATGAGCTTTTAGTTCTTCTCGTGATTAGATGATTATTTCTATCCTTTTCTTTTTTTCATTTATATATTCTAATTAAAATTCTTTTCGGATTGGATAAATATGAATTAGAGCGAAACAGATATAGAAAATTTATACAGTTGACCTAAAGTTTCAGGTAGATTTAAGATTATCCCTTAGCTAATTATTTGATTTATTGAAACAAGACCATAGTGGTTCTTAAACGTCGACATGTGCAAGTATCTTATTATTCCACATACAATAGCGCGATTAAATATTTTCAATTTCAACCCAAACACATGTTACCTAGAAAACTAATCAGGTAAAAGTTACTAGTTATATAGACTGGGCCTAATGTTAAAGTCTTTCCTCAATTAAAAATAAAACGCAGGGTAGGTTTTGATTGACAAGCAAAATAGCTTGTTCCTAGTGAGGCTTTCGGTGCAAATGGCATCTGCCTAAAAAATGGGGCTGGATTTCTTGTCACTTGGAATAATGGCGAAGGGCTATTGTAGCTCAATTTTGTGCTGGGCAAAAAGATTTTTTTACTGTTATTAAAGGTAACAAGTAGTCGTGTTGGATCAGAATTTTATAGATTACGATGAACTGAATCAATAACTGAGTTATGATCCTACGTTTGTCTAATATTTGCATGAATCATATTGGATCCAGTCAGAATGAGCTCAGGTTTAGGAAAGGTAAATTGCAAGCTATCATTTTCCTTGTGTCCAAGTTCGAGTATTACTATTTCTTTCACGTTGTGGAATTATACTGAGTTTATTATTATTGTTGTTCTCGAGTATTTCTACCGTAAACAGAAGTCACTCATCTACCTTTACATTCATCAAAAGAGATAAAGACATTTAAAAAGTGTATTGTTCAGAAAAAGTAGTGCCATATTGACGTGTTGATCTTGAAGATGTAGAAAGAATTCTATACAAACAACTAGTGGAATCTACGAATGAGCACCTGTAAAGAAAAAATCTATTGCATCACGTTAATGATTGGTCCATTGTCTATTCCAGAAAAGATACTGCTAGTAGTAAGTAATAATAGTAGTAATCAAACGAGACATTTATACATTTCAAGTCTCTTTAAAGCTTTAAATATATCAAGGACGCGTTGCACCTTATTAGCCTCCAATTAAATTAAAGTTGTACCATTACTATTGCAACTCACAGATGGCAGCTTTTCCAATATTTTCTGCCCTTCATTTATGGCATAGAGAAACATATATATCTACTCCTCCGTATTAGAGACAGAAAGATGCAGGCCAAGTAGGATAAAAAGTCCGAAAAGCAGGATCATTTTATCCTGTAATAGCAGAATGAGAAGGTTGTATTAATATTATTTTTTAACATGGCTTATGGTGCTTCATGGATAAAACTATCTTGTTTTATGATTAAACGACGAGAAATATGTATCTGACTGGAGTAAATTAAAAATCTATATGATCCAAATGTCAATATGAACTGTATAACTTCATAATGTTTGTATCTCTATTGCTCTCAAAATGAGAAATCGTGGTTGATATGATATATAAGCCGTGAACCGAATTTTAGGAATACAATCAACTCTTTAGATGAGACACTCTCAAACATAGCGACAAAAGGTTATGAAAACACGGTTAAGAGATAAAAGTTCACATGGAACTATAATCTCAGTTCTAAAAGCATTACTGGAATTTCTCCAGGTTAAACAAATCCAATATGATCAAAGAAGCTATCATATCTTTTCAAAACAAATTTACAAAAAGACTACAAGAATGCTCCTCTGGAAAAGGTGTTGCAGCAAAATTATATTTAGCAAACACCTTAATCACATTCATTCCGCATTTCAATTCAAGTCAAACTGACCCGCTAAATATCAAAGTTGACCTCAATCGTATGATGAGCCAAAAGATCAATGTAACATTTAGTTCCTCATAGAAGGCCATGAAGAGTAGCTAAATAACCAATGTATCTGTAATAAAAAAGAAAACTATAAAACTGCTGTAGCAACAAATTGAATAAGAACATCGTTTGTCTTAGATTGGTTTAGCACTCAACTTTCTGTGATTCTAGGTTTGGTTTAAGAGGAGGAAAACCTCTATCAATATAGATACAAATTCATACATTCTTCAAATCAGCAGAATTATCATGTATAAAGCCACTGATACTGTCATCTCATACTTCCAAATTTAACCACTTAACCTCACTGTTGTCCATGGGAAAATTCTGTACCTTTGACTACTTGAGCTGATAACCATTTTTAAGCCTAAAGCTCAAACTTCTCTTGCAGAAACCTGTAAAGCTGTTCTGCAACTATTTCAGGATACTCTTCCTGGGGAAGGAGAGCACCTGGCACTTCGATATACTTGCTCACCCCTTTGGCCTCCCTAAGTGCTTCCATCTCTGCTTTCGACCTCTTCGGAGAACCTGCGGTTGCCAGAACTAGAACCGGTATCCTACCCTCCAACTCAGCAAATAGTTGGACAAATTCCTCCCTGGATTTTACCGGGTCAAGCAAACCAGTCAAGAAAGCAGCAGGCACATAGCGAGCACCTTGCCGCTTTGTGAGTGCGTATCGGCTCTCGATGATATCTGGAGTTACCTTTTCGGGATCTGAATAAACATGGGACTTATATTGTGATTGTATTGATTTCTCATTGCTGACAAGTACATTATACATCATCCAACCAACAGCAGGGGCCCTTAATGTCCCTCTAAGGAGACCATACCTGTAGAAAATGAGAATGAAATATCAAATCACGAAATAGTGTAATATCATTTCTGCAAATATGGTGAAAAATCTTGAATACTATTGTTATTTTTTTCGGATGAAAATTTCATATTTTGAAAGGTGGAGTGCTGATTGTGTTATCCAATGGATTACTATGCAGGAGACTCTCATGTCATTTGCTTTTTTCCTACAAAAACTGAAATAATGTCTGCTTAAACTTCCGAATCTTGTAGTCCTTTTGTTCTCTATATTGGGCCTAGCCCTGTAATGGGCATTATTTAGCAAGCTGCTGAGCTCTCAGTTAAATAAAAAGGTCAAGAAAAGTGCAACGGAAGGAAAGATCTATGCGTACCTCGTTTCCATGCTGGAATCTCTTCCAAAAACAATAGGAAGTGGACCAGCCCAGGTGGGAGCAATAGCAGCAATCGCTGTTGGCTTCACCAAGCCCTTCTTTGCAGCACGAACTGCTATTGTAGCAGCATGTCCTCCTCCAAACACCACCAAGTCCTTATCTAATATATTCATTTGAAATTATTTACAAGAGAACTCCTAAGAAAATAAAAGATGAGATATCTTTACCAAAATTAAGGAACTTGAAAAATCATTTCCAGATGCAGAGGGCAAACAAAGCTGAAACATCTCACAGGCAAACACACACACACAGAGTTAGCAGCAGCACGGGGGGGGGGGGGGGGGGG